AATAATCTTTTAAGGCACTCTACTTACAATGTAAGGTATGTTTTGGTTTCAAATTATCCACAAAGGGTTGATAAGATTCAAAAAAAACAAATCCAGATTAAGGTACTTTTACTGACAATATGTATTGTATATGTATATATTGACAATATAATTTACATATTTGTGATAAAAATATTTTGTATTAAAATTTTTTCACAAAGTAAAGTAATAATTTTAGCTTATTACAGAAGTTATTATAAATTTTATTAAGATGTACTAAATATATTAAAATATTACCTATTTTCTGTATGAAATTTTCCCCCACCTCAAACCAAAATTGTGGCTTTTCCTACTCTAATGAAGCGTACCTTATGACTTCTCTGATTTTTTTTTTTTTTTTTTTTTTTTTTTTTCAATAGCTAAATGAAACACACAGTCAAAAGGAAGCACTTAATGCTCAGTTCTGAATACAGTATTCTTGGGAGTCATTTCCTCTTAGGGGTTTAAACTTAATACCAAGACATAAAAGTAACACTCCCACACCCTACCAGCAGATCCCCTATACTAGTTAGGTTTAAGACCCATTTTACACTACAGCTACAATTCTGACTGGTGGTAGGTAGATGAAGTGAAGGTCACTGTTCAGTTAGAAGGTTTGTTTACAAAACTAAATAAATCATTAAATTTGTCCTTATTTTGATGGGGTTGCCTGGTGAATATTTTCTTTCCTTTTTTTCTTTTTTCATCAAGTGTGTACAGGACTGAAATGTGTGTGTGTGTGTGTCCATATAAAAACTGCCATTAGGTCACACAGACACATATGCACACTCTGATACCTAACATTGTGCTTGTAAAATCTGTGTTACTCTTACTGTAAATTAATTATGGTTCATTAGAAAAGAGGAAAATCCATTCAGCCGGGAGGTACGTGCCCCTAAATTTTATATTGGAGTCTTGGGTTTTGTTTTTTTTATTAAATTAATAAATTTGTTTATTTATTTGAGTAAAGCTTACCTTCCCTGAAGGTACTGAGTTGGTGTAAAGTACATCTCAACTCTTTTTTTCTTTTTTTTTTTTTTTTTTTTTTCTTTTCTTTTTTCCACCTGAATCTTCTTGTTATACAGGAACTTTCTTTTATATTTAATTTTAATTCTATTATTTCATTATTATTTTTTAATAATCTGTCCAGTGCTTTTTAAATCCTTCTTGTATGAAATATGAAACTTGAAAAGGTCCTATATATTGGTGGGGGGGACAGGCCTAGGATTTATTACCAAAGAGACAGGCATTTTTTTCTTTCTTTACCAAGTTATCCTTAACCACCTACCATCCTACTACAGAGTTCAAAACAGGACCCTAAAACCTCTCATGAAAATGTTTGTAGTTACTATCTGCTACTACTACTACCACCACTTTCCATCTGGGTCATACTATCTGATCTAAGTTTCCAAAAAAGTTAAAATTTTTGACAACTATTTCACTTCATATTTTTCTGTGGCTCCCTCTTATTATTCTATTCAAGATAGATTTAAACATAAATTTAACATAATTCTATAACATAATATGAATTATATAAATAATCAATAATGAAACATAATAAAAGATACTTTGACTTATCTATAAATTTGTTAAAAGTGCTAGTTGCCTTTCAACATTAGTTATTTTACTTATACACTTAGATTTTTAATTATTATTACTATTATTATTATTATTACTGCTGCTAATATTATTATTATAATTATTATTATTATTATTATTAATATTACAATTATTATTAAGTCAAATTCTACTGAATGTGAAGGGATGCTTTTTGTGCTATCAAAATTGTATTATTAATATTTTTTGTTACTATTCAGTATCATTTCTACTTAAAAAATAATATAGTAAAAAACAAATTTAATACTAATTAATTAATTAGTGCATATTTTATGATTATGTTCTAGTAATATATTTTCATTTTTTTTTCTTCTTTCTTTGTGACTTGTAAAATGAAGTCATTTTGTTGAACCAGGAAAAAAGTAATGTAAAATAATAGTTTAATTTAAAAATAGGTTATTCAAAACATTGCCTACTTAGTGCGTACTAGTAACTAGTTTAATATTACGATTTACACAATTCCCCTTAACAGTAATGAAGTACATTCTTTCTCATGTTTTATGCACTTATACGTTTTAATACTAATTTTACTTAAAACCAAATAATGCGTAATTAAAAAAAGATAAATTTCAAAATTTTCTTTTAAAGTGAGAAAAAAAAGAAAATAATTAATAAGTTTTACATAAATAATAGTACCTATTTTAATACCACTAGTGTCATAATTATAGTTCATTGATAAATGATATGTTCTATTTCAGTTAAATTTTTGTTAATATTAAATTCAAAAGGGTAAAAAAGTTAATAACAATAACTTAATAACAATAACTTGCAACTGAATATAAAATAATTTTTATGAAAAAATGAAATGTCCTGGTAAAAAATTAGAAAGTTATGTTTTGTTAAGGGTAAGTGGAAAAAAAAAACAAGTTATGACTTCTGCTTGTGGGTGGGAACACATGTCATGTAATAGAAAATATTTTTGTTTAAAATAATATCTTTAATTTATTAACAGGATCTCAATAAAGTAAAATCCTGGCTAGACATTTACATAGCAATACTTGAACCTTTAACATTAAATGTAAATATGGAAAGATTTTAGATACCAACAGATATGGTAAATTTATAAGTTATATTTGTAAACAGATCTTTTATTAATCTCACAATCACATATTTACTCCCATATACTTTTTTTTTATTATTATTATTACTACTACTACTATTACTAATTAATACTATTATTAATGCTGCTGCTATTATTATTATTATGATTCTTTTTTTTTTACATTACAACTGTTATTATTGACCTACAGTGATATTTCTTTTTCACAATCACATATTTACTCCCATATACTTTTTTTTATTATTATTACTACTACTACTACTATTACTAATTAATACTATTATTAATGCTGCTATTATTATTATTATTATTATTATTATTATTATTATTATTAATCTAACTGTAAAATACTGTTTGAATTTGAAGGGATGCTTTTGTACCATCAAAACTATTAATATTTTTTTTGTTACTATTCAGTATTATTTTTAGTTAAAAAATAATATAGTAAAAAACAAATTTAATACTAATTATTATATGTTTTATGTTTATGTTCTTGTAATCTTTTTCATTTTTTTTTTTCCTTCCCTTGTGACTGGTAAATGTCCTAGAAGTCATTTGTTAGGCTAGGGAAAAAATCATGGAAAACAATAGTTTACAACTGTAGTGACAAATAAAAAAAATAGATGTTGTTTATGATAGGATGTGCAGATAGTGTAACAGTTATGCGATGTGCTGAAAAAGTGAATTGGTTCACCAGTTTCAAATTCCAGTTGAGTTTCTTGCATTCACTTTCGCACTAATGTCCCTGTGAGAAGCCTGAATCCATCTCTTCTTTCTTCATCTATGGGTAAAAAAGCAGGTTAGACTGAGCTCTCTATCCTTGATCGACAACCAGGCTAAGAAAAGGATTTTCTCTCAGGTTTGAAATTGTGGAGAAGTTACTGAGAAATCATTTCCCCATCTTTCTCAAGAATGCATGGCAATTTACAGATAATAAAAAAAAAAAAATAATAATAATAATAATAAAGGATTTGTGGAGAGTCATGATCACCTATGTCCTCAAGGGACATGGCATTTTTTTAAAAAAAATTTTTAATATTTTAAATAAAATAATAAAAAATTATTGTATGTAATATTTGAATTTAAAATAGATAAGATTTTTATAATTTAAAATATTACTTATTTTATTTAATAGTGAAATAACTAATATTTTCATAAATGAAATGCTGATAAGTCTTATTTAATTTATAGTAATTTTGTAGTGAACTAGTTTATTAAAATATTACATATTTCATTATTAATAAATTACTTTTTAAGATATATTAGTGGGGTCGTACTGGACCAGAGATAATCTTCTCTTTTTTTTTTCTTCTTTTTTTTCAAAAAATAGAAATAAATTTTATAAATAAGTTAATATAAGGATCCAATTTGATATGTAAATTCATTGTAAATTGATCCCCCCTACTGAAGCCAAAACAATCTCTTTTTTTTTTTTTTTTTTTTTTTTTAATTAGTAATCACTATTAATATGAAAACATTTATTTTATTTAAATGAAAATATTATTTTCTCTGAATTTTTTCCTACCCATAAGCCAAAATTATGACTTTGCTTCTTTAGAGTTACAACTATTTTTTATTTTATTATTCAGTTTGGTTACTATGATTTAAGGGACTCTTTATACTTTATCGTTCAAAAACATTACAACTGTTATTATTGACCTACAGTGATATTTCTTTTTCAAAAATTTTATTTTATTCACTAATGAACAATAAATTTTTTGTTCTGTCCAAAGTTAGTTTGCCAGAAATAATATACAAGCATTAAAATTGTTTTGTATAGAATCTGATTTGGGTAGAAAAGTAAAATGCTACTTTGGGGAGGGGGGGGTTCAAATTACAACTAAAGCTTTTTAATACAACATCTAACTATTACTATCAAGTGCTACAAAAATTGGGAGGAGGGAAAATTGTCAGTTTCACTGCTGTCCAGGGGGTGTAATAGTGAGTAGGGCCAGTTAGTTTCTTTGTGTTCACTTCTCAAAAGTAGTTGTGGTAGTAGTTTTTTTTTTTTTCTTCTTCTTATTCTTCTTCTTCTTCTTCTTCTTCTTCTTCTTCTTCAATACTGGGCCCCCATTTTTTTTATCTTTATTATTTTTATTTTTATTTTTTTTATTTTAGCCACTGAACAAAGGCTTAGTTTCAATATGAAGAAAAAAAACCTGAATTTCAATGTTAAAAAAAAAAAAAGTATAACTGATGGTGGATGGAGGAGCAGGGTTTTTTTTTTTTTTTTTGTCCCCCCCTTCTGCTGCTGCTGCTTCTAGAACTCTATTTTTGTGCAGGTTTCTGAGTTTGTATTTTCAGCATGTTATATTTGCTTCCCAACTGTCCCAAGGTGGTCAGTCATTTCTTTTTACTGGGCATTATTTTACAACCGTACTTTTTATTTAAAACTTTTAACAGCTTTTTCCCTTTCCATTGAAAATTGTAGGGTGGACATCTTTCTTTATCTCTTTCTTTTTCTTTCTTTCTCTTTTTTTCTTTATTTTACCTTTCACTTTCTTTATTTTTTCTCTTTTCCTCTTTCTTTTTTTCTTTCATTATTTTTTCTTTTTCTCTCTTTCTTTTTCCTTCTTTACTTATTTACATAAGATAGATAACTTTCTGCTATTTACTGGAGGTAGGCAGAGAGAAAAAAAAATTCATTTTATATAACCCATGATAAAAATAGTGAATAAGATTTTAAAAAAAATAATTTTTGTATAAATGAAAAAAAAAAAAAGAAAGAAAGAGAGAGATAAAAAGACACGGAGAGAGAAAAGAATGCTAATTCATTGCAGATATATAGATAGAAAGAAAGAAAGGAAATAAAAAAAGATCGTAAGCTAGAAGGGAATAAAAAAAAAATTACAGATCTGTAGAAAGAGATAAATATTTTAGCTAAGGATAAAGATTCTCTGAAGAAGAGTGTAGAAAACAAAAAAAAAAAAAATTAGTAATGGCTGTGCACTCAATGTTTCAGGCTTTATTAGCCATCCCTTCATTTTGTTTATTTAATTATTTTTTTTTCTATCTTCTCAAATCTTTTTAACATTTTCTACACATTTTACTGTCTTACTTCCTGGCCTTTCCTTAAAAACATTCGCCCATCTCTCCCCAACTCTCTTTCTCTCATTTGCAATGCTTATAAAAGTGAGGTTAAAAATTCTTGGAGACAAAATCTGCCGGCATTGTCTCATGTCTTTTGCAAAGTTATCAGTTACCACCATCAGTAGAAGAGTCTGCCTACATTATGTTGGGGGGATGTTTATGTGAGTGAAGGGTCCATCTGTGTGCCTATATCAATTCTTTTTTTTCTTTATGCCGTATCCCTTCAGATTGTATGCAATCATGGCTCTCCACTATTTCCTGTCCTTCGTAGCCTTTGTTTTTGGGCTATCCTTCTTAATCTCCATTTTGCTAACACATTTACACAAGTTTATTAGATTGGTTATGTACTGCTTTCCACTATCCTTATTGCTTTCACTATGTCCTGTGAATATTAAATTTTCCAAGCCCTCTTTCTTCATTATGTGCCCTGGAATTTTCAACCATCTTTTTTAGATGGTCCATATCAGTGCCCTTTTTGTTTCCATTTTCTCTAAAACTTCGACATTGCTCATGTGTTCAATCAATGGTAAAAATGTATTCTCATCATATATATTTATATATATATATATATATATATATATATATATCAATAATAAACATATATATATACATATATACATATATATACATGTATATATATATATATATATATATATATATATATACATATATATATATATATATACATATATATATAAATATATATATATATATATATATATATATATATATATATATATATATGCATATATACATATATATATATATATACATATATATATATATATATATATATATATATATATATATATATATATATATATATATATATATATATATATATATATATATATACCATATATATATATATATATATATATATATATATATATATATATATATATATATATATATATATATATATATATACACACACACACATATATATATATATATACACACACACATGAAACTGGAAAAAATTCTCTTCTCCACAATTCATTTCCCGAAATTTCTGATGAAGCTGCCACATTGAGCTTTGGCGTGTGTGTGTCTGTAATAAAGAAAGATTGTCTATGTAGTATAATATGCTGATGAAATCTGAGAGATAAAAAAACAGCAAAAATAATAATATAGATAGTAAAACTAATAATATTTATTGTATAATACTAATTTTTTGACCAAATGGAAGCATGACGAGAAAGATGTTAAAAATTTGAAGTTTTGGACATGCCTGTGTTCTTTCCAAAAATTAAAAAAAAATGGAGTGAGACTTCTTTGAAGAGATCTAATAGTTTTAAGCTAGTTGTTCACCATGTTTAGGGTTGTTGAGAGTTTGTAGAAAGCTTTTTGTGAAAACTGTATTCATTGAGTTTAGAATAAAATTAAAATTTAGGCATACTCAATGAATAAAGTTTCCATTAAAAAAAACCTTCTACAAACCCTATTAGATCTGTTAAGCAATAAAATAACTTTCAAATTGAAGTTGCCAAGGTGTCCCAGTTATCAGTGTGGTGTCAATGCCTATGCTTTAAGTACTACATTAGCAAAATCGTAATAAAACCTAATATCTCAGTACTTCAGAAGTCTGCATTGCCTGGTGTTGAAATATATTCTGCAAAAAGTGCTATCTGTTTGAAGTCATAAAACTTGATGGTGAGCACCTATAATGCAAGAACTCCTAATGAAAAACAAAAAATTGTGCTAAAGAAGAAAATAATAATCATATAATGGCATCAAAGTTAGTCTTTAGAAATGTACATGAATAAGCATTGTAATAAAGTACTTAAAATTGAAAAGTAAATTTGATGCACCTTAATATGAAATAATAATAATAGTGGTGGTGTCATAATTAGTTTTTAAATATATACATGAAATAAGCTTTGGAGTAAAGGTCTTTAAAAAAAAATATGAAGATACTTTTGATACACCTTAATAATTTTTCTTCAGTAGCCATTAACTGTTAATTCCCTTGAAAATAAAATTTTAAATGCAGATGACTTGGCCCAAATTGTGTGGTTGCTGACTTGGGTGAGGGTGTTGAATCCAGTTCATATTGACCCAGCAAGTGTAATTGTAAATAAATTAGAGAGAATTTAATCAGTTGCAATTAACGAGATAATTGCAATTGAGAAAAATAGAAATCGAGAGGGAATGGTTGTCAGGGGATTGGTGGGTGGGAGGTACTTGTTCAAATTGAAAGAATGTTTCCTGCTCCTGGAACAGTATACCATAATTCTGGCACTAAAACAAATATATATATATATATATATATATGTATGTATATATATATATGTATGTGTGTGTGTGTGTATATATATATATATATATATATATATATAGTATGCCAAGTGTTTTTTCATTGTTTGTAATGTCTGTAACTTTTTATGTAATAATTATCTCCCATGCATTTTTATGACATTGTCCCAAGATGTTTTGTGACCAGTAATGGAAATATGTTATCTGTTGAGGAAATATTTGGCTTTCATTGACCAAGCAGCCGGTGCCACTTGAGTTAGTCCTTTCTTCATTAGATGAAAATTGTGGTGAGATCAAAGTGTAGTATCTGTTCTCCATATCACTATTGTTAATGGTAATATTAGCCATTTCCTTATAAGGAAACATTTGGTATCCATTGACCAAGCAACCCTTGTTACTTAAGATTTACTTTATTCCCTGGACTTTGAGGTGAGATCAAAGTGTAGTACCACCCTCAAGTAGACAAACTACATCTTATCTCTCAATTGTGTTTTTGTCTTTGGATAGAGGGCAACTGAAAATATTATTGAGAGATGACTGGTTCCAAGGAACAGCTGTCTGCAGCAATACTGCCCTCATTGTACTAAAGAAGAGAAATCAGTAGTAATAATGGTGCCCAGGCTCCCACATTTAACTGACCTTGTGTCACATCCTGCCAGCATCGGGCATCAAGTAAATACTGTAGTCTGTTCTTCACATCACTAACATTCAGCATTCATTGACCAAGCAGCCATTGGGCTGAAAACAAAGTGTAGTATCTATTCTCATCTCTAATGATAATATTAGCCATTTCTTTACATTGAAACATTCATTAACCAAACAACCAATACTACTCAAATTAAGGTTTTCTTCATTCTCTGGTCATCAGACTGGGGTCAAAGTGTAGTATCTGTTTTCTCATTTCTAATGGTAATAGTTGTTGTGACCGTGTTAGGGCCAGAAATAAAGACATAAAGAGAGGAATTGAGTTATACAAATATATTAACAGAAACAGTAATACAAACGAGAGTATTACAGCAAGAATGTTCGATCCAACTGTCAGAGCTGACTACTGGAAACTTCCTCTCCAAAAAGGTTGTACCTGCTCCTCTTTATAGAGCTGGGAGAGTCCATGTGTGCATGGGTAAATTACTATAACAATAGTAATATTAACAATTTCCTTATAAGGAATCAATCAACATTCGCTTAATGAGTGCTTCTTTCAGTTGAAATTTATAAAATCTTTCCCTTAAAACAATTTTTCAGGAGAATAGATTCCCCCAAGTCCATTAACTTTTACTGCTCGTTCCAATATTGATGGGAGTTCCTTCCTAACCTTTTTTTTTAAGTGATGTGGAACATCAATATTTTGATTATGTCCTTATTTTCTCATTGAGTTACATGTGCTATCCATTTTAACAGTTGTTGCTGTTGGTAGTCCTCAAGTGTTTCTGTTATTTGATACAGTTCTTTGTTCATGATTCTGTAGTGCCAGTCCATAAGGTTCAAAGAAGGATGGTCATCACTATGACCTGCAGGCTTCATTCGCTTGAAACCATTTTTAACCATTGACCAGGAGGAAAAGAGATCGATTCCAAGGATAGAGTAAAAGACTAATAAGTGGGAAAATATATTTAAAAACTCACCCAAGAAAGCCTTCTGAGGATTTAACAAAATATGCTATTATTTTTATGGCATGGGTAAGTTAGCATTAATAAAGGAGTCTACTGGACATAAAATGGGTGATGAGATTTCTATTATTATTATTATTATTATTATTAATTACTACATTCCAAGATGATATTTATTTTTGGATTCAACTTGCTATATCCTAATATTAACACTTGTACTTAAAAACTTACATGTGAAAACCTAATAATATTAAGGACTTAAGAAAATATGCCATCCTTTCTGAGAGCACGGGTGAACTATACTTAAGATTTTAGTGGACATAAAGTGAGGGATTGGTTTTTTTTTTTTTTTATTAAGTAATAAACTGTTCCCTCACGAGTAAGTGTATATTTATATAATAATTGGAAATACATAATTAAAAACACACATGTGAAAAGCTTAAGGAGCTAAGAAAATCATCTTTTTTTTTTTACAGTCTGGATAAACTAGTATTAAAATACACAGGTGTTATAGTTAGTGTTAGGTTTTTTCTTAAATATTGCTTGCCAAATTATAGGTGCATATTATACACAGTTGGTGAGAAATATAGTAGGTATTAATGTCCTTTAAAATCATATATGTATTATTTCTCTTGTTTTTTTTTGTTTTTTTTCCCCTCCA